GGGGGGTGAAAGGTGGGGATCGCATTAACCCATTGCAGTACGAAGACGGAAATACTCGTATCGGAAGCATGCGTTTTTTGTTCTGTTTTCTAAACGGACTTCCCCAATCGATTCTTTTGATCGATTCTCGAGGGTTTGCTGGTCGTTTATCAAGCAGATTCGCTAGGTGTCAGCATTTTCTTTGCTTGCAAAAGTTTTCATATTCTCCGATTTTTGCCTCTGAAGCATCGGGAAATTCGTGCTGCGATGGATTCTTCTTTCGCATGGGAATAGAAATTCGAAATTGATTTTGATCGGTGAAATCGAGTCGGGATGCTGCGCGGATCTGCTCGATGCTTCCGGGAAAGGAGGACAATGGGCATTCGTCGATGTTTTTCCATTGTTCGGGTCGGGGTGTCCGCAGTCGCACATTGGCGATTGTTTTGCCGCCTTGTGAGGCGTCCGGATCTCGTGAGACGTCCGGATCGGCCGCGAAGAGTCCGGATCCGATTTAAGGTGACCCATTTTTAAGGTGACCCAGCGCGGATCTCGGCTCGATTCCTCATTTTTCGCCCGCGACGATCGCGACGATCGCGGAGAAAGGATTCCGAGAAGTCGAAAATTTTCACCGAAAGTTCGTGCTAAAAAAAAAAAAAAAAAAAGTTCGATCGGAAGAAAAATGGCAAAATAGGAACTTTCCTGCGTTGAGTAATTGCTGATTCCCTTTCTCCGTGTAATTTTATCCCTGGAAATCAGCATTCTTGTTTCAATTTCGATTCATTTTACGCTGAAAACTGGGGAAGTGGTCAAATGCGTGCTTAAATATGCAGAATGGCAAGGAAGAGCCGAAATTTGCATTTTCGTATTTTTTATGTAAAAAATGCATTTTCCCATTTTGTACATTAAAAAACCGTGTTAGTGATTTTTGTATTTTTTTTTAAAGTTTTGTTCTTGCTTTTTTTAACTTGAGAAAAATCGGTCACATTTTATGCGACAGCCGCGAAAGGGAATTAGGTCCGTTGGATTTTCGCCTTTAAATCATCCTGAAAAAACCTTAGCCTGCGATCAGTCGGGAAAAAAGCTGATGATAGGCTTGTCTTAATTCAATTAACAAACATAAAAATAAATAAACAGAGCCGTCGATTAAATTATGGAAAATTAAGGCTTGACATATGTTTAGACGCAATACGGTGCCAAAAATGTTTTTGCGCGAATCTCCGCGGGAATTCCCAAACCCAAACTTTGAGCCATGGCAGCTTTTGTCAGTGGCAGCTTTTGTCAGTGGCGGCATTTGACAGCGGGGGGGTGGGGTCGACGAGTGTTATGTCGCTGGGGAATCCCCCGCGAACGCAGGGGCCGGTCCGTGCGTTTCCAGGAATGCGAAAGGAGGAAAAACAAAATTTGGGACACCTGCGAGATGGTGGGGGCCGATGGGGGGAGTGAGTGAAGGTCAAGGGGACGCTGGGAGGGCTAATTGACTGGCGCTGCTTGTCCGATGCGTCTCCGTCGTTCTATCTTCCATCTCGCGTGGTCTTTTGGGGAGGGGGGGGGGGGGGGTCGCGGGGGGGTATAAAAGGTGGAGGTTCGCTCGCGGTTCTTCATTCGTCGTGCGAGACTCGACCGAGGAAGTTCGTTCGTCATTGCCTTGAGTGCCTTTCGCCTGTGTTCTCTTCGGCGCTTTCGACATGAAGCTCGTGAGTTTATTCTGTTTTGGGGGTTGTAGTGGCTGGATTGGCTCGATGGGGGGGTTTCAAATGCGTTATTCGGGGTTTGCTTCGTCGGCTTTCGGGTTTTTTCCTACTGTCAATGTCAATTTCAGGGTGCTAAATTGCAAAAAAAAAGTACTTTTCGTAAGGCGGTTCTTACTGGTCACTCCGCTCTCCATGAGTAATTGCATCAAGTCAGCGTAACGAGCGATGGGCCTGGAAATAGCGTCACCTCAAACGTCGCTCAACGGTCTCGTAATGTGGCTTAATATGGTAATCGATTAAGTTGAAATAAAATTTCTGCAAGGATTTCACGCGGTTCGGCAGGGAGTTCGTCGCGATTGAACATTCAACGGATTCGACACCTGTCAGAACCGATTTGCATATGCCCCCGTTTCCGTCGATTTCCCACGATCGGGATCGATCGCCGTTCGCTTATCGATTTCGCCCACTTTTTCCCGTGTTTCTTCGCCGGCCGTATCGCGACGGTTTAGTGTCTCCATTCTGCCTATCGATTAACGCCGCTGAAGGGGATTAGCATACCCAAAGAAAGTGTAACAAAAGTCGGGAAATCGCGAGGTTGTTGATGCATATCCTGCGTAAGCTGTTTAGAACCCGCCGGTCGACCTGGTCGATCACGAAATCCGGTTCATGCGACCCGAGTCAACCAAATTTGAGCCTCGTTGCCCCAAAGTTGACCAAAAATCGCTGGGTGGCCCGAAGTGACCAGCTTCAATTTTAGCGAAACTAAGGGGAGCAGATGACGTTAAGTTCGCCCGATCGGGCTCGAAAAGCTCAAATTTTCGCACGCCATCCAGACCACAGAATTTTCAGGAATGGAATTTTCACATTTTCATGATTTTCTTGCAGGTGCTGGCGCTTTTGGGGCTGCTCTGCCTGGCGGCGCTGTGCCTCTCGCAGGAGGACCTCGTCCCCGCCGAGTCGGCCCATCCGGGCTTCGGGCTCTTCCGCGGCTTTAATGGTGATTCTTCCTTCTTTGGGTTTTGGATGGGATTTTTGGAAATCGCGCTGGCCGCGTTTGGCGAGGTGTTTCTGCTTGAAAAACGTGAAAAACGTAAACAAGTGGAGGACTTCGTGGAACTTCGAGTTACATTCCGGAAATAAATTAAATTAAATTAAAATAAAATCCGCATCACTCGGCAAATCCCGATTCGAACAACCGTGTTGAATTTAATAGTGGGCCAAATGAGAGAATGATTTCCTATTGGAATGGTTCCCTTCCTCCGAAACACGATATACCAACAGAGAAAAATATATCTAAAAACAAAAAAGGGAATCTACCCTTGGAATGGGGCTGGTGGAATAAAAAAGCACTCAGTTACCTTGAGAGGGGCAACAAGCGCATAAGCTTCATTTGCAATTATTATCACGCGGAAGTTTTTTATTTTCGAATCGCTTGTATCTTATTGCCTTTCTAATTTCGAAATTTCAGACAGGGAATTTTTTTTTATTTTTCTCTCTTCACAGGATACTTCAGGCCCTACGGATACGGCGGATACAGGCGACACTTCGGCTACCGCCCGTATTACGGCTACGGAGGATACCGGGGCTATTGGGGCTGAGCGGTTCCGAGTTCCCTTCAGTTTGGGTAGCTGTCGGCGTTGTTCGTTGGTAATAAACGGCTGACGGTCTTTTGTATCTCTTGGCTCGCTATTTTTCTGACTGAATTTTCTCATCAGAAGATTTTTAATAAACAACAGATGAGAATTTAACGATTTAATTATTGGGTAAATCATGTGTTAAAATGGGTGCCAAGCGCCATATTTCGTTGTGGGGAAGCGAGACAATTGCTTACACCTGGCTGGTATTTACCAGCAGCTGAATTTGTAAATTTACCCATTCGGAATGCTTGAGAAGATTTTTCACGACTTTGATTTGAATAAGCTCTTGATTCTTTGCCCACGATAAGTTCAGTGCCAAATAGGTAAACCTACCCAATTCTGCGATTTCGGTTAAAATGAAACTATGCTGCCATCTAACGGGCATTCATGGCATTACATAAGCTATAACAGTCTCTCCGTGAATGGATATAGGTGCGACTATCACAGGATTTGCCCTATAAGACATCCATTTCGGTGAAGATACGTTTCAAAATTTCTGCGAAAATGTTTATTCGAAAATGGTGATACACAAATACACGATGAAAATACAGTGGAAACCGGATAAGTGCACAAATCAAATGACTGCACTCCACGCCCTAAAATTTTGCCCTTCGTACCCAAACAAGTGCACAAGGAGATGGCACCGCCCAAATGTCACTCTACGGATTTGTTTTGAGCCCTATGGCAAGTGCTGCCACCCCCGCCCAGTCGCAAGGATGCAGCGGCCGCTCTGACCGTCCTCCGTGCTCATTTTGGGGCGCGGATGCTCATCTGAAAGACGTGGATGCGCTGGAGGATCAATTTTGTCATCTTTCTTCTGAAAACTTAGGAAAAGATTTCCGATTATTTCAAATGATAGTGACAATCAATGTTTTCTATAACTAATCAATGACTATTTGAAAGTTTGAGCAGAAATTGAATCAGGATTAATGTGTTTAAGTGAAACCCGTATAAGTGTATACAATTTTCTTGTGGGGTCGATGTGCACTTAACTGGTTTCCATTCCACTGTAAGTTGTCAATTATCTTGCGAATATTATCTGTGGAGTCGCGGAAAAAAGTCGGTATCGAATGATCGTATCTATTTGGTCTATTGCCGAAATTCCCGCGTTATCTCCAGCTGGCCTGCCTCGAGCGTCCAGCTTTGTGCAGAAATCGAGATTCCTCACCTGACCGTCAAAATTTCCGTCTCGAGCCACTCCAAACCTGGGGCCGTATTCAATATATTTCTTAAAAGTAAGCCTAGAAACCTGCTAAAGTGTCTGCTAAGGTTAGCAGGGTACTCAACTAGAGTCATTCAATATCCGTCTTATCACACTGCTTATCCTAGCAGAGTGCTAAGGGACGTCGAGCAAGCGTTACATCTTGGAGCGGCCCTATTCTTTCCGTGTCAGCATGGCAGTTTTCAAACGAAAAGCGAATATTAACCTACAAGAACAAATGGTTTTGCGGTTAAATATCAAGAGGACTTTGTGATGGGTTCATGCCAGTGCCAAACGGTCTTGGTATGCATCTCCATCTGGATCTTCATTCGGTTGTTCATCCATGGATACATTCAAATAGTCGTGAAGTTCTCAGACCTTTTGTGAATATAGGCAATGGAGCCTCATTTTCCCCTACCCAAATATCACCACGGTCGTCCTATGTGCTCCATTATGTCGCACTCGTTGGCGAAACCGAGAGAGAAACCAGAGGCTACTTTGTAACTGGCGATACAAGGAGCCTAGTGGTTTACCTGGACATCGTAGACACCACCGGCCAGCGGGCAGAGATAGCTTGTACATGTGATCTCGTATGCACTGTTGCAAACGCACATGACGTTTATCGAATGAATCCCTTGTGATTGAAGAAATTAAGCTCATTAAGTGAATACCGACGATCACGTCAATCACACCTGGGAACTGACCAAAGGCATCCCTTCATTGTGCCATCTGACCATCATCTGGTTGCGTCGCAAAATGCGAAACATTGCTCTCATAGCAAGTACAACCTTCCACAATATCCCACTTGCAGAAACATGGGAGACTTCCATACAGTCGCTCATTTAGCAGTTTTAAAAGATCCTGTAACAAAGTACTATGAACCTACACAGATTTGAATGACATGGATTATGTGGTGATTCTGGGAGCTACTGCTTCTACGTCCTCTTGAAGGCCAGTGAGGAAAAGCAGTTTCAAAAAAAGTTTGAAACGTTGACACTTAGTTAAAGTTGAGAATCCGACGAAGAATCGACGTCGATGAAATGCTGGCGATTCGTAATTAACAGTATTTGCAGCATGTTGTGGCTACTCGTGGATTAGCGAAGTCGTTTAGTGGCGCTTAAGCGCAAATTCTTTCCTCATCATATATGATTTGCGGGTTTGATGTCGATTCTTCGTCGGATTTTCAACTTTAAGCACCCCCCAAGCCACAGGGTTACAGTGCTAAGGGAAAATGAGTGGATCGCTTGTCCGGTTAACTGGACATGGCCTTCCTGATCTGGCCATCGATGACTAGTTAACTGGACCTGGACAGTCAACGTGTTAAAGTCTTCAGTTAAAAAAAAACCCTGACGAATTCTCTTCTCTTGTGTGACCAGTATGTTTTTTTTTTTTTCCAAAACAAGAATGACCATCGGAATCTCAGTGGCGCAATTATTGTCCTCCCAGATTTACTGGACTCCTATGACAACCTCAGCGGCCTTAGAGGGGAGCCTTTGAGGGGAGCCTTAGAGGGGAGCCTTAGAGGGGAGCCTTAGAGGGGAGTCTTAGAGGGGAGCCTACCTCACCAAGCAATCCACATTAACAATTGGAATCAGCATCTGCTACTCATGCTACATGCTACTCGCAATCGAGCTGTCCCGGGCCCCGCACGCGACAGACGCGCGTGGGACCGTGGGTACCCCGAGTGCATCGTGGGAGCGAGTGTGCGGATGCTCCAGTGACTCCTGCCGCCCACGCTCGGTGCTGTATCCGCGTGGCACGTGACGAGTGTTCTCTCGCTCGTTGACTCGTTTGCTTCGGCGGGGAGAAAGTGTTGTGTTTACGAACGATTTGGACCATGGCAACCTTTAAACGTCCTGCGAGTGCTACTTCACCCCAAGAGACCCCCCATGAAGAACGGAAAGAAGATATTACCGCTTGAAACCGAGTTGGAGATTATAAGACGACTTGCGGGCGGGGAGACTGCGGCGTCGCTTGGTCGTGCGTATTGGGTGAACGAGACAAGCATACGCACAATGAAGAGGAACGCAGAAAAAATGCTAAAAGTTCTGTGGTTCGGTCAACTTCACTAGCAGCGAAGAGGAAGAGTGAAGGCCGTACGAGCGGCTACGGCAAGAAGAGGAGGAGGAGGCCCTTCAGCTGCCCGACCACTTTCTAAGCGAGTTAAGGCTGGTTTGACGAGTTCAGGAAGCGCCAGAATCGACATAACGTCAAATTTACAGGTGAAGCTGGGAGTGCTGGCGCTGTTGCCGCTTCTATGTTCCCATATGAGTTCAAGGCCATGGTGGCGGCTGAGGGATATAAGCCGCAGCAAGTTTTTAATGCCGATGAAACTGGCTCATTTTGGAAGCGCATGCCGAGCAGAACATATATTTCAAAGGAAGAGAAGACTACTCCAGGCTTCAAGGCGGCGAAGGATAGGCTAACACTCCTGCTATGTGGCAACGCCGAAGGTGATTTTAAGTGGAAACCGTTCCTTGTGTACCGTTCCCAGGATCCCCGAGCCTTAAAAAGGTGTTAGTCAGCACATCCTTCCGGTTCATTTGAGGGCAAATAAGAAGGCATGGGTAACCCTGAAGTTCTCTGAAGCCTGGTTTGTCGGCTGTTTCTGCATCGAGGTGGAGCGATACTGCCGTGATTCAAACATTGCTTTCAAGGCCTTAGTCCTCCTTGATGATGCCCCGGGGCACCCTACGCACCTGAATGACCAGCACCCCAATGCGAGAGTGATGTTTCTGCCGCCCAACACCAGCACCTTAATCCAGTCCATGGATCAGGGCGTCATAGCAACTTTTAACATGTATTGATATACTATCTGAGGTGGAAATTCTCCCAGTTCCTGGATGCTACTGACAGACCAGACAAGCCATCAATTCGTGATTTCTGGTATAACTACAACATCTTGCATGCCATTAACAACATCAAGAGTGCCTGGGATGGAGCTAAGACCATCAGCATGAATGATGTTTGAAAGGCCCTGTGGAAGGAGTTCACAGGATTCGTGAACCCGTCCTAAGAAGTGGCCGCGATCGTCAGGTTTAACTGAAATGTTGAAGGGGGCGTTTTCGAGGATTTACAAGAGGCGGACGTCATCGAGCTTCTCGAGACCCTTGAAGAGGAAATGTCTGTGGAGGACTTGATGGAACTGAAAGATGGAGGAACAGAAGCAAGAGGAGCAAGATGTTATAGAACCTCGCCAGCTGATCGTGGCTGGCTCACTTCTTCACGCTTGCCGACCAGCTGGCCCAGGAAGCGATGGATATGGACCCAAACCTGGAGCGGAGTTTACAGTTTGGGAGGAGTTCAACATCGGCCTTGGCTACCTTCAAGGGGATCTACCGGGTGAAACAGCGAACGTCAAAGCAATCCACATTAACTCAAATTTTGAAGATCTCTAGCCCAACAACACCCGTCCCCAGCACCTCCACGACCACTCCTGCTAGCACACCATCCCACACCATCACTCCTGCCAGCCCATTGATGCTCACTGGCCCCGATAGCCCAATGGAGCAGGTTTCATCTCCACTCGACGTAACGCTGCCGCTACCTGCTTCCAGTGAGGTGGAGTCTGTGGTGGCGTCTCTAATGCTGGTGCTTTGAAACCAACGATATCTTAATATCTGAATTTTTGTTGCCAAGTTTAGGTACGTGATCAGGGCAAGTCGTGAGGCAACTTGAGGAGCGAGGGCGACGGTGTGTGCGGGATTCAAGGGAAGAGGGAGCATGGTGTATTCGAACCGTTCCTTCTTTGGTTTATCGAAAGTCGGTTGAACATTTATGATACGAGATCGGTGGAGCAATAACGTTTGGTAATTACAGAAGGCAAAGGAGAAGGAAAAGTTAAGCGACAATGATGATTTTCCCAAATTGTGGAAACAGATGTCTATGTTCGCAAGCGACGTTAGCTTC